GTCATATAGATGGTATTATCATTAGTTGGAGGTTCTTGCGGGAGTTCGAAGTATCTCGATAATTCAGAAAAAGAATTACTCAGAAAAACAGGGGAAAAAGAGTTTTTTTTTTCAAGTGAATGCAATATGCTTCCGTACTCATTTGCATAATTTTTGATGAAAACACAATAGACTTAAGAGAAACAGCACACTGAAATACCTGTAGTGTAGCACATCCAGCAATTTCGTATTGTTTATGAGAGAGGCAGTAAAATTGGTGAATCCAATTATCTCCCATCTCTTAAGTCTGTATGTACAACATGCTAAGCTAAGCAATGTGGATAAGCGACATATTTCATGGATATTTCATATTATATTCAGAACGGCTCAATGCATCCAAATAGTAAGTAATTGCAAGAAGTTGTGTAAAACAAGTGATTTTGATTAATTTTGAGCTGATTATGTATTTTGGGGCACTTTTATACAATTATATGTCTATATTAAGTATTTTTTAACAATCATACATACTTTATAGGCTTTTTTTTGACAAATTCAGTGTTTTCTTGTCCCTGACGCTTGGTCATTGTTCTATTGGACAATTTACTTTACTTTACATTTACTTTTCTTCACAGAAGTGAACCAGATGCTGAGATACAGTGTATCATTTTTAAAGTTTTCTAGCATGCCTGTAAAATCAAGAAGGCCTTGCGACTCCCCATGAAGGTTTGTGGTTTAGACTAACTCTCATCTCCCAACTTGCTATGAATCTTATCATTGAGATTGTACAGATCACATTATGTCTTTAGAAATCATATCAAAAATCTAAATACCCTGCTCACCTATGTACCACCCACACAGATGTTTTCACTTATTTAGCCTGATTAGATCTCTTATCTTATCTTATCTCTAGCAAGATATATATGTATATTAATGTTTATGCAGATGTCCTTACAGTTGTGTCACAATGAACTATCAGTTCGTTACAGTGTTTTACGTGTTTTCTTTTTTGTCTTTTTTCCTTACAAAATACACAGGGTTGGTGAAAAAGGGGTAATGATGGCAGAGGTATGTTTACTTATTTCATTCCCGAATTGCACAGTGACCACAGCCACTATAATCTTTGTTGTTGTAATTCCTCCTGGTTGCCAACAGAGGTCTATAAAGATCATAGATTATTTTATGTTCCTATACATACAATGTTAAAGTCACAGAAAAATGGCACTTCAAGAGCTGCTTGCTTCCTAAATTTCTTATGTTTTTATTTATTTTCTGACTGTGGAAGCAGGATATTAGTATGACAGACAGATCACTTATACAGAAACATGTAAATCAGTAGTTGTATTTATTTGCTGGTTCATTATGTGATGTTTTATTGGTTGGAATTATGTATGCATGTAATGATGCTGTAAAAGTAATATCATTTTCATACAAAATGGAAAATGACATGAAAAAGGAAAACCTTACTGCTCATTGTATTGTGTTATGAATATTCTTTAGTTTAGTTTAACCTGGTTGAATAATTACATGAATGCTCAGGTCATGTAATTAGCAGGTTCAGGTGGATCTCTCAGCTCTGTTTGTACAGTATGAACCATCTATTGCTCCTCTTCTTTGTGCTTATTTTTTTTCCTGCTCTGTCCAAACTCAGAAGTTGCCAACCCACCAAGGATCTGCAGGCGATTAAGTGTGGAGGATGAGGATAATTACAAGCTTGCTATATTCAGTTGAGTCCCCAGTACCCACATTCTGCCTGCCATCCACGCTTTCAGTACCTCTGCTGGGGAGAGTATGAGGAAATGATCTGCTCCACTCACCGAGAGAAGAATCACAGTCCTGAGATGTAGGAAAAAAATAGCTGACCCAGATGAGCAAGCACTGTGAGACAAAACCTTACCTGTGATCTAACCGCAGATGTAGACACAAAATATTAGTGAATGAGCTTGTCAGTCTAGAAAATTGATCTTTATATTGCAAACATCGTAAAAAAAAAGGTCAATCAATAACCTCACTTTGTATTATTGTATGTAAGTGTACGTGTAAGTGTATCATAACCTTGTTAAGAGGGTGTGCATGTTGTGAACCTATACAGTATATAGCGCTGAATCAATTAGTTAGAATTAGATGTTTTGATAGTTGATCAGTAATTTATCAAGCAAAGACTGGTGGTTTTGGACTGTTTATCAGATAAAACCAGCAATTGAAACATATCACTTTGGGGTCTGAGAAATTATTCTCCATTTTCAGACATTTTATTGACTCAGTTTATATAATCATTAGTTGTTGTGGTCCTAGTTTACAAGGAAGTGGCCAAACACTATATATCCAAGCAAAGTAAGCCACGGTTCCCACCATTTAAAGGATAAGGCTAGTGATATTGTACATCTATTGCAGTATGGTGTGGCTCATTGATGTGTTTTTATTAGCTTTTGCTCTTCTTGGGATTTGCTGACACTTACCCTTTAATCTACTAGAAAAGCCCAAATTGATGCATTAAGAAACAGAACACACATTTACAGACCTGGTTAAGAATTTAATTATTTGTTTATTTATTAATTTATTTACGTATTTCTATCTCCAGATTCACCCACCCGAAAAATATAAATTCCGGTGTATTCCAAAGAAAAAAAAAAGGAACAATGGCATCTTCATCAACCGCATCAAAGGAATTAATCAACAAAAGTGGCAATAATTATTATCATTATTACAATAATAATTCAATGATCAGAATATCCACATTCATAACAAATCCATATACAACTGCAATACACTCTTCAACACCACTCTTCCATTAATATACACAAAATCCCCAAATGTCTGTCCTGTCAAAACAACAATAGAGGAGTTTTGGGGAGGGGGGCTATGGCTTGTCAAGGGGTATGAAGATGAGTGACCAGCGGAGTTAATGGATCTAAGGTTAGTAAGAGTATAAGGGGGAGGCACACTTATTTAGTAAGGACCTATACAAAAACAAGCAGTGTTAAGTAATGACAGTATACTTTCATGGAAGGATTTGCCAGTCTAACCGAATCTTAACAAAAGGTTAGAAGGCTCCATGAAAGGCAGAATTTGGGGAACAAAATTTCAAGAAATATATAAGGGTTGTCGGAATAAATATATAACTCTGAATGACAACCGTTGCAAACATATAGCATAGGAACCTAAAGTGAAAGTCAGATACGCAAGAACTCAAAACAGGTTGAGAGTTTTCAAAGAAATGCAGATGGAGGTTTCTGGAAAAATTGTCTTAGTCTATATATGTACAAACATTGCTTGGTCACCCAAATCTACTTAGAAAAGCTTTTTAGTTGGTCAGAAAATGAGTGCAAGCTTAAGATTATGTGAGTTACTTTTTGTATGAGAGCTTCAAGAATGCAGCTATAAGTGACAGACCTTGCTGATATTCTAAGTCTGCACAGAAAGTGCCTCTGATAGCTCAGCACATTTAAAAACCTTTCCATGCCTCAGTATTGGTAACTTGAGAAGACCTATTCATAGAAAGAGAGAGAAACATTAGAGGAAAAAATAACTGTACACTCTGCATATACAAACAAACTGTATATACACATAGACATACCATATATACACATTTATCCAGTATATACACAAAGATTTAGCCAGTACACACACTTATATACAAACACATTCACTCGTTTCAGCAGGACCTCTAACATATCTCTCTCTGTTTCAGTCACAAGTGGAAATGGCAGGGATTTCAACTCAGACTGGTGTCAGTGGAGTCCATCCATAGAAGTAAATGGGGAGTTTTACCGCAATTTGAATGCAGAAAGGTGGCCACACTGAAACCAAGAGTTCATCCTCTGCTCGGTTAAAACTCTACAGACAGATAGTCGAAGTGGAGTACAAAACAATATCTGTACGAATGTCTTCATCCAAAGACTTTCACATCGTCCAAAAATGGAGAGCTCCATGGCGATTGTTGGGCAAGAAACATCCGTCCACTTTTCCTTTTTTGTTTTGACTGATTATAA